CTCTCTCTCTCTCTCTCTCTCTCTCTCTCTCTCTCTCTCTCTCTCTCTTTACTGCCTTCTTTTCTCTCTTTCTCGCTGTCTTTCTTTCTCTCGCACACTCACGCACACATCATACACACACGCACGTACTCTTTCTTTCTCTATCTTCCCCTCTCTCCCTCTCAGTCTCTCTCTCTCCCTCTTTCTCTCTCTCTCTCTCTCTCTCTTTCATACATACATATACGCTATCTATCACTTCCGGCAACTCCCTTCCCTCGTGTCATCATACTATACGTGTTCTCTACATCACGTTCTCGTCTCTGTAGTCGTCGCATTCACTCAACCACACGCTCACACATTCACGCACACTCTTCTCGCCAATCATCATCACCGCTCCTCTCTCCCTATCTTTATTTATTCGCCTTCGCACACGTTTGCGGTTTCGCCTTTAAATCGCCTTGAAACGGCTTATTACTTCCCTTTACAACGAGACTGCTTATTTGCCATCCTTCTCTTTTTCTTTGTTCTCGTCAACTTCCTTGTCTTTCTCAACTTCTTTCTCCTCCTTATCCGCCTTCTCCTTGTCTCCCTCCTTCTCCTCCTTGGACTCCTTAGACTCCTTCGCCTCTTCCTTGCCTTCTTTTTCCTCTTGCTTCTCAGGCTTGGGCAGATGCGTGTTCATGTCCAGGCTGGAGCAGATCTCGTCCCAATCCGGGAAGCATCGTTCCTTGACGCGCGAGCAATGGCCAACCAAGTTGGGACAGTTCTCTTGCATGTAGTCTCGCAGGCTGTAGGGCGTGTCTTTGTCGATATACAGGATTTGAGCGAGATGCGCGAACGCTACTACGTCCATCTGCACAAATGCGAGAAATCAACGCTGAAACGGGATCACTTGAACAAATCGTCCAATTAATCTAATATTGCCGTGTTGAACCAAGCGTAACTAGTAACGAAGAGAGGTAAAAATCGGAGAGGGACTTGTGTGAAATAAGTAACATTCCATGATCATAGTTTGCGATCCGTATTCCACAAATTCTATGCACATCTCGCGATGAATGACATTTGTTTCATTTTGTAATCCTGAAATTTAATTCTCTGACATTTCAATCGGTCAAAGTTTATTCGGTTGAAATGCAGATAATCGTTAATTATCGTTCATCTGATTCCGTCTGCCAATATAACAACCGAGAACGTAGTCTCTTAGCGACGAAACTAAGCGAGTACTGTTTCATCCGTACGACGCGGCACTATACACCGATGTTATCATCAGTATCGAGTTACGAATGGCTGAAACTATTATTTACCCGAGAGGCAAAATGTATTCTGCGCATGCTACACGAGTACACGAGTAAGTACGAGATTCCATCTTCGCGATGGGCAAGACGCGCTACTGACAGATTTAAAACGCCATACTCACAGTGGTCGGTTCGTCCCCGAAGAAGAAGGGCTTGTCGGCGAGCGTGTCCGAGAGCACCTTGAGATCGGTACAGCCGAACTGGGACACCTCCTCCGGACTGTGCACGCCCATTCCCTGAGCCTTCACTTTCCTTGCACCCTGTAACCAATCCAACTACATTTCACTACAAACGACCACGATGCTTTGTTCTCTGCTCGCGTTTCGTTGCTTCGTTGCACACTACCTTAGCTACCACATTCATAGACATCTATGGCCACAAGCGCAGCAGCTTGCACTCTAAGCGAATACTATGAATGATTCTAGGGATAGCGTGATAGTAATAATGTGATAACGAGCTGTGATAACGATTAATTGTAGCCAAACTTGGTCGAAGTAAAAAGTATATCCCGAATGCGTGTCGGGATACTCTGATCGGTTCCGACGATCCACGTCGTCGTTGTAAAGACGAATGTCTGCCCGGTTGCAGCAGGACTTGCACTTCGTGCACATATATTCCATATTATTGACGCGTAAACGAAACTGTCACACCTCGACCAAAATTCAGTCGCGAATGAGAATGATCATTCCGTAAAATTGGAAGGTTAATTATGCGACACTGGATGAGAAATGGAGATGCGTACAACAGGGTTGCGAGTAATTATTTTTCAAACTAATTATCACGTTCAACTGACGACTAATATGAGCCAACTCAATTGGAGATCGTTTAGTTAACAATTGATTTGAGCAAATTCAATCGGAGATCGTTCGATTGACGATACATTTCAAAACGTATTTAATTAAAAACCATTCAATTGACGATTGATATGAGCGAAGGGAATTAAAGGTCGTTCAATTAACAATCGAACTTGGCAAATTTGATTAAAGGTCATCTAATTGATGACCGTTCAGTCCAATTGAATTCACTGAAGTCAATTGTCAGGTAAACATTTTTCAATTGATTGGTTGCTCGAAGCAATCGTCGATTGGTTGAATTGAAACATATTTATTCAATTATTAAATTGAGAAAGATTCAATCGATATTTTTACAACTCTGATGTATAATGGCGAAGTTGCGGTGATAGCACTTGCTCGAAACTATGCACAACTAGCGTAAAATGTGCGCATACATACGTGTAAATTCGTGCGACTCGCAAGAGATCGAAGAGGTCGAGGGGAAGAGAAACGTTAACTCATCGGTACAAAAATATTGTTGTGATGAATAGTTATGGAAATAACGTGGAGAATATAATTATGGAAATATGTGGACGAGATACGTAGAGGCATGAGCGTATATTAATCTGTTACGGTGAGAAACGATCGGAGACCGTGACAAAATGTGAATTGATCGTCCGGCGAACGTCCAAGTTGTATAGCTAGGTCACATCGAAATCACATCGAAATCATAGAGAACGCCAAGCGAGACTTACCTTACGTCCGAACGTGAGCTTGAAGAAGAAATTGAGAATGGCGTTGGGAATACGTGATCCCAGGGCAAGCTGAAGATTGACCTTGTAACCCTTGAGGACCTGATCCAGATTCTTTGTGCGCCAGCAGGCGACCACCCAGACCAGATGATTCTCGATCATCGATATCATGGCGTGAGATACGCTCCGCTGCTCGGACGTGAGACCGGCATCCAAGTCCTTGCCGAACTTCTGACTCAGCTCCCGCAGGATGATCGTGCTGTCCGCGATCTCTTCGCCGTTCAGTTCAACGAACGGCAGCTGCCCCTTCTTGGAGCGGAACTTCATCTTGTGATCAACATTCTGCAACAATCGAATGAATCGTATTTCCCGTTAATCAAAACACGTCCTAAATAGAGGAAGGAGCTTACTTCTATATTCTATATTATAATATACTTCTATATTATATTTTTTCCTTCGGAATACTGGTACAATTTTGCTAAATAAGTGGTCGACGTTAAGACAAGTATTTTGGTCTCGTGCATTATTTTGAAATGCGACTCGCTGAAATTTCCATAGGTAACACGACATTCGAACTAAACCGGGTGAATCAAAATGGCCCACACAAAGCTACCGTGATCTTCTCCGTGAAGATAAGTCATGACTCGCGATAAATAATATCGCATTGAAATGGACAGACATAGGCATGTATGCTCTCGCATAGCGGAGCACATGCTCTATTTATAGACGCACGCACACCGCGTTAAACACATAAGTGGGATATCGTGGCTTTCACAGGTGAATCAGCTTATTATATGTAATCTGCGAACGCGTCACGCGCTGATGTACAGGGTGTCTTGGATTCAGCGGTCCCCTGCTTAACTCTCCGTTTGCTTTGTGGGTCATTTTGGATGCAGTTGACATTTCAATTGTCTGTCACGGATTTTACTAAGAAAGAAAAGTTACAAACGTTCTGATTAGAAAATATAGACCTGAGGTAATGAGAAATATTTTTGTTCTGATGTTTTTTGCTTTTACGGGAGGAGGGAGGGGGGAGCGGTATTGTCCACGAAAAACAAGGTAGCAGATGAAGAGTAAATGGTAGATTCTAAGTCGCGCTTCTTTAACGAACAATTTTGCTGAAGATTAAAATTGTACAGTGCAAACTTTTGCCAGTTATAATACAGAAAATTCTTCCCATCTCCTTTCTGATAAAAGATACGTCTTTCAAAGTTCACAATTTTTAACTCTACAGCAGTATCGGCAGCGTAATTACATGTCACACGAGGGAACAAGCGCGTTGTATTTATATATTATTAAAAAAAAAATGTAGCACGAGCGTCGTTAAACTTGCGACCAGGGATTTCTCCGTGACACTTAAATAACGGCGTACCTTCCTGCTTGCACAATTTACTATGTAGATCAAGTACTCGATGTTCGCGAGACAGACGAAGTAGTATCGGCGCTGTCGCCGAGTCAAACGAGGCGGAAGAAGCAATTCTACCGATACTAATGCTCTGCAGAAGAAACAAAAAAGAAGAGGGCCGCCCCGCTGACAAACCGATGGAATTAACGGGCGAGGTTAAATCGCATGGAAGTTCGCGCCGGTGCGTCGGAGGAAAATACGACGGAAGAGTTTAAGACGCGCACGCGACGCGAGAAACACGGAAGAAGGAGAGACGCGACAAAACGAGTCGGAAGAGCGAACGAGCACGGAAGAAGAGCACGGATGCGGCGCGGAGCCAATTATGGAGACGCCGAGACACAAGCGGCGAAAAGAAGAAAAAAATTTGGACCACGATGCGCGAAATTCGGGCGAGCTACAAAACGAGACAGAGAGTAACACACACACACGTCACACGTTAAAGGCATTGCTCGGGGGATTGTCGGGAAAACAATGACGCAACGGGGGGAAAGAGAGAGAACCCATTGCTCCAGTTTTAACCCTTCGGTCGAGTGTGACGGTGAGATCGATGAGGGAGGGCTGGTATAGATGTGTGATACGCGCGTGTGTCAAGCTGGTAACGCCGTAACAGGGGTCGGGGCCAGCCAAAGGCGTTAACTATCTCCTCACCCAAATGAGTCATTTTTCTCACTGGGAACTTTTTATCGATTATCTTCTGTTTGCTCGTTTACTAATGCATATTAGATTATCGCCCCGAGAATTGTCAAAATTCTCATTTGGACATATCGTTATTAGTCAGTATCTAGCTCGATAATAACACCCATCAGTATTCTCCTGTCAACGCATTACTCAGAAACACATAATTTCTTTGCCATTGTTTCTTTCCCGCTTCACTAATGCATATTTACATTACCGTCCTCGTACTTTGGAAATTGCCAGAGTCTAATCTGTGAGACGTGATATTCATCGATATTCTATAGTTGAGAGACACGTTATTCAAATGACACGTTCTCTAGCACGATTGATAAGACTCGATAACGAAGCAACAACGACGTCGGGGCGAAGTGGGGCGGGGTCGGCGCGCTGAAAGCGCGGTCCCGCGTCGACCTCGGCGCGACGCGGCGGAGAAGCCAAAAGAAACGGACGAAGGGTGGCTGGCTGGCTGGCTGGCTGGCTAGCTGGATCGGTGTGTGCGCTGCAAGCGAGGGAGAAGCGTCGAGCACGCCGAGGACGATGAACTCGCCGCGCGCGCGGCAGCCAGCAGGCAGCTTCCGTCGCCTGGCAACGTTCCCCACTTGGCTACCTACCCCACCGCCGCGTGGCCGGGCGCAGCGTCGCTCTACACTACGTCGGTTTTAGCGTACGTGCGCTGCGCCGCACGCTGGTGGTCGTGCCAGTCCTCTCTTTCTCTCTCTCTCCCTCTCTCGTTCCCGTCACTGTCGTGGTAGTCACCCTCGTTGATCGTAGTCGTGGCCGCCGTTCGCGCTGATATTGATCGCGCGGGATGGTGCTGCGAACGGCCGCCACCACTGCCGCCAACGTCGTCGTCGACGTCGACGTCGACGTCGTCGTCGACGCTTGCACGACGCAAGGACGCGTGTTGTCGCCGAAAAAAGATTGGTCTCCCTCTCCGTAGGAGAAGCCAAAGTCGATACGAGGGGAGACACGCAGAATAATGGATTTGTTGTTTGCGCGGATGCTGTAATTTCTCCAGGGTCGGGGTTCTCGCGAGCGGGCGCGCGCGCCGGTATCGATTGGTCTGGAGCGTCACAGCCGTGGAATACGGGACGCGACGCGACCCTTTAAACGCCTGAAATATTCGGGATACACGGTCATCATATCCCGTGTAATCTATATGCTCGTTCGACTCCGGGAGAATTGCGAGCTGGAGTACCAGAGAGATTCCTTCGTCCGCTTTTCTCCTCCACCTTCTCTCCATCGTGCACTTCCATGTTGAGATACATTAGCGAGATACACGATAACTTGGTTCCTCTCCGTAACTTTGAAACTCGATTATCGCGGCTCTTCCTAGAGAATGAATATGCCGAATATACACACAGACTGTATCGAATAGCGCGAGGAACAGTGACAGATCGCCGCCTGCTCTCGGCCCGCGCTTGCATCCGATCCCCCTCGTCGCTCGTCCTAATGGACTAGAAGCGTACTGTTTCCACAGCGCATTCCGACACGACGGATGTAGCCGGGGAGATTCATACGTATGTATATATATGACGTGAACGTGTGCCGGGTGACACGGTGTAACCGGCTACTTATCGCTGCCCACACCAGCGGAGCAGCGAGAGACGATTCCTATAACGTGAGACGCGCAATTGACGATGCATTTACACATGAGAACTGACCGACTGACTGATCCTTTCGACACTGATGATTGTATGCTAAAAAAAAAGTGATGAAAATTCCTCTTGTCCTCGCAAGCGCGAGACAACTTAATAAGCAACGTTTGCAAATGAGGATAAAAAGCTACACAGTTAAACATCACATACACATCGTCGCGTGCACGTGGTATCGCGTTGCTCAGATCAAGTAGATTGCTAGCTTAGCCGCTTAGATGTGTGTGTGTGTGTGTGTGTGTGTGTGTGTGTGTGTGTGTGTGTGTGTATATGTAAATATATATAATCCTTAGATTCACCTCGCCTACTACTGTATTCAAAGTGTTAGACAGCGCACATAAATTAAGCCATGCGCGCGAGTCAGTCATGCTGCTGGCTGTCTGTTGAGAGTTGCGCTCATATACCCAGAGCTATTTTCTTTTTCAACACGGCGATTACGCTTATCTTGTGATATTTTGCTCTCTAAATTTCTGGAAGTGAAATTTCACTAAAAAAAAGAAACGATCACCGAGTCGCCTGAATTCGAATTCGATTTTTCATTCATACAGAATGAATTCTCTGCTCTAAACAGTCGAGTGGATGTCTTTATTTCACATTGAAAAGTTGATGTCATGTCCTCCACCGTCATGAGAACATATTCACTCAAATCGACTGAAACTCACTCTTGCGACTTTAGCAATATTTTCGCTATCGCTTCGACGCCACTTTGTATTTATTTTGAAAAAGATTCCACTCCAAAAAATGTAGAGAGTGCTCGGTGAGAAGTTTCAGGCAAAACTACGTCAACATTTTCAGTCGTTTAGAATATCAGGGGAAAGTCCAGATTTCCGATGCTCGCAGTGAAATTTTAATCTGTTACCTTATAAGCGATATCGTCCGAATGGTTATTTATTTCACGTTAGCTCCATTTGGGAATAAACGAACTACAATTCCGAGGAAATAAATCGGACGTTTTGATATCGGGGCTTCTCTCGATGAATGAATTGAAGCCGCTCTCGATAGTCCTATCGCTACGGGCTTTCCATCGGTTATCGTATAATTAAATCGTCGACTAAAATAGAAAAGATGAGATCTCGAATTGCAATGTTAAATGCGCGCGGCACGCGATCAATAGACACCCGACGCGAAGCGCATTTACGTCTCTAGCGGTAATCGGTCAAATTAGGAGAGCACCACGCCTCGCATTCATGCACGGTGAATTATCTCGACATTTAACCCGTTGTTTCTTCGAGCGTGACACCATAAAGTCGCACAATGGGGTCCGTTCATGTCGCGTAAACTATCTTACGAAACACGATAAGCGCGTCGATATCCTTCCGTACAATAAATAGCACTTGAATAGCATGTCTTGCAGCCAAGAAGACCCGACGAGTTAACGTTAACCATTTTCGACAACAGAATTCTGTTGCACGCAGGAGGAAATTTGTATTTTCTCCTGTTTGTTTTGTGGAATAAATTCAATTCCTTTTTTTAAAGGAAACACGAACACATAAAAGCCCTTATAATATGAATTCTTCTTTATTGATAAAAGAGAGTTCAAAATAAAGGCCTTTGTGTGTTTTATGCTTTTCCCCAAGAAATTTCTCTTAATGTCAAATTTGCCTTGC